CAGCCTGGGTGAGGGGCTGAGGGCTGTTTGCAGGCTGGCCATGGCCCCGAGAAACCCAGGCTCCCAGATCCTCCTTGAGCAGAGGCCACAGTGGCTGGAAGCAGGTATCTGGGATTTATTTATCTTCTATAATTGAAACTTTGTAGCCTTGAGCGGAGTCCACAGCCAGCCAGGGCAGGTGGGAAGCTTGGCTTCCTCCATTGCCAGGGGCAACCCAAGCCTCCTGTTTGCTCCAGCTCTGTGGCCGCCGCCATCTTGGTTGGGTTTATTTGCATACTCGCTCCTGATTGGCTGGTGGACGTGGCTTATGGGCATGGCTTGTGCGTGTAGCAGAGGTATGGTCAATTTGCATGTTTCTCTTTTATTAGATAAGATACATGTATAGAGAAAATATGGTAAGAATTTCATGGTAGAGAAAGGAGAGCTGTAGATTGCAATCATATACTACTATTATTTATCCTAAAATATAATTTGATTATGAGTAACTGAAGCAAGAACTAACAGTATTTAAACCTCCTCTTTAGTTCCTGTGCAAACTGGTCTGTGTGACACTCACAATGTTTTCTCTGTTTTCCTCAGCATCGGTGCCCTGATTGGATTGGGAATTGCTGCCCTTGTTTTACTTGCCTTTGTCATCAGCGTCTGTGTACTTTGCTATCTATTTCTGCATACAAAGCCTCAAAGGTTAGACACTGGCCTTAAACTTCAACACCTAGAGGTTTCTTCCACTCAAGAAGGTAATCAGTACCCATTATTTGTAGCCAATTACCTGTACTCTGTTGAAAAGAATAACCTGTACCTGGGTAAGAAATCATACTGTTAATGAGTGCTTTTTAAAAATTCAATTCATTATGTTTCTTTGTATAAATGCATGCTAAATTAGGCCTTAATGATGAAATACCTTAGAGAAATTGTCCTGAGGGAAAATAGCAGCAGGATGTAGATGTTCTTGTGAAAAATAATACATTGATCCAATAAATCCACTTTAAGATATGTATGACTCAGTTACAAAGTCTTATCTTCTTGGAATTTTTAAATTTTGTTTTTGATGGAGCCACAGAAGTCACATAAAGAGAGAAATGACTACCTGATAATGAATTCTCAGTGTTGCATTACTCTAGATTGGTTAGTCAATGGCCAGCTAAGCATTTACCTTGTGCACCTATGGTGTACAGACTTCAGAGAAGGTGTGTAAAATAATTCCGAGGCATGTAAAAGAAATAGAAAAATAGAAGATAGTCCTGTTTTTTAGTAGATTATGAACTAGTTACATATAGTGATGTGTTTAGTGTGACCATAAAGTAGGAAGACATTTTTATGTGTCGTTCGTGGAACTGGGTTTCATTGTTATTTCAGTTATGATGTGCTACACAAATGCTAATTGTTATCATTAAGAAACTCAGAATTATTAATATTTTGTGAATATAAATTTCTGTAAGTGTATTTAAAAAGTAGTAATTATGGTGCAGAGTTGCTCAGTAGGTTAGAGCATTGTCCTGTGCACCGAAGGATCACAGGTTCAATTCCCAATGAGGGCATATACCCAGGTTGCGGGTTCGATCCTGCTTGGGGTGCATACAGGAGGCAACTAATTGATGTGTCTCTCTCATATCGATGTTTCTCCTTCTCCCTCTCTCTTCCTCTCTCTCTCTCTAAATCAATAAAAATATATCCTTGGGTGAGGGTTAAAAAATAGTAGTAATCATAAATTGTATTTTGACATATATTTAGAATGTATTTTAATAAAAATTTAGAATATACGTATATATATTTAAAACATGACACACATGCTGACTACCATTTAAAAAGAAAATTTAGAGAGTTGTTTTAAAAAATTAGAAAATTCTCTGCTCATATGCTCTATTTTAGCTGAATCCTGAAGCTTATATGTATGGAGCACATGCTCTGTGACCTTTTAGTCCACTGCTGCTGCATGATTGCATAAGCTCTCTTTGCCTTCTCTGTGGGGAGCTCTCACAGGGGTATCTCTTTGCAGTCCTCTTTCTGAAGCAATTTCTGAAGTTTGGAGATTGCATGGCAGACTTGACAGGTTTATATGGGTTAAACCCTTGTTTCTCCACAGGCAAAATGAAGCAGCGGGTTAGTGATTATGAAATAACCAGATCACATAATCAATTTTTGTCTCAACTGCTTAGATAATGTAAGGTACCAGTTCTTAAGTTTTACTACGCATGAGAATCACATAGGGAGCTTGTAAAAACTGCAAACTTTAAAACAAGTAGCTCCCTTTCCTATCCTTGCCCCCCTGCTGTCTACTGTCCACGCTGGCCAGGCAGGACTGGTCCTTTTTAATGCTGTTGAGCATCCTTATAATCATTACTCTGAACTTTATAGCTGATAGATTGCTTATATTCACTTTATTTAGTTCTTCATCTGGAGAATTCTCTTGTTCCTGCATTTGGGGCCTATTTCTTTGTCTCCTCATTTTGGCTGCCTCTTTTTGTTTGTTTCTTTGTATTAGGTAGATCTGCTATGGCTCTCAGTTTTGGTAGGGTGGCCCTGTGGGTGGCCCTGTATAATAGGTGACCTGTGGGACCCAGTGGCGTAGTCACCCTAATCACCTGGGCTCAGGGTTTTAAGAATGTCCCTTGAATGTGTTATGTGGGCTTTCCTGTTGTAATTGAGTCGTGATTTCTATTGGCCCATTTGTGCATGGGACCAACCCTCAGCCTGGCTGACAGTGAGACTCAACCCCCAACACAACATGCAAGCTGCTGTGCAGGAGTTGATCACACAAAGTGAAATTTGCCTCAGCAAGGTCTAGTGCCTGCCGAGAACTCCCTGTGGAAATGCTTCTCGTGAAGCTTATTGGATCCTGCTCTGTTGTTTTCCGGAGCTGACCACTGGGTATTGGTTTGGGGACTCTTTGGAGAGACTCTGGTGCAGACCAATGTCAGACACTGTTTGTGACTGACCCTGGGCAACCTGTTTGGAGCTGTTAGCAATCCACAGCTTGTGGCTCCTTCTACTGGGCCTGGTGCATGTGGAAAGGAACAAGCTGTGCACCAAGGCCTACTTTTACTAGCACCAGAGCCCAGGGGAAGGTCAGCAAATGTTTCAAAGCACCCAGAGATCTGCCTCTGCCTGCAGGCTGTCTCTTAGGTTCCATCACGTAAAGATCCTTTGTCTGTACTCCTCAGCAGGACTTAAGCTCCACAAGGTGGGACAACTTGGATTCCCAATGGGTGGGACTGTTGCTTCCCCCCAAGGCTGATGCTGCATAGAGGGGAATGCTCTGCTTGAGAAAGATGGCTTCTGCAGGATAGGGGAATGACTCAGCACAGGGATACTGGTCACTGACCTCTCAGCTCTCACCCCAGAGCCACCAACTCCAGACTCTCTTCATGTAGCTCTAGTCCTGAAGCCCAGTGTGAATGGCTGCAAACAAAATGTTGTGTATTGGCCCTTTAAGAGGCAGACAGAAATCCCTCTGCTTTTCACAGTCAGATTTTATGTAGTCACCTTTCCCAGTTCTGGTGCTTTGCGCTGGGGAAACTGCCTTGGGGTCTAGACCCCAGGCTTCTCAGGGGGAAAAACCCACAGCTGAGCTATTCCTCCAGAACTTCAGTTGCCATCCCTGGGAGTCTGGCCAGCCTTCTTGTGCCTCCACACTTCCTACTAGCCTTGATGAGGCTTCCTGTGCAAGTCCTTGGTTATAGGTTTCTCTCCAGCTAGTCTTCACTTGGTTATTCAGGATGATCTTTCTATGCTTTAGTTGTAATTCCAGTTTGGTCCTGGGAGGTGAGTGTAACTTCCACCTGATTCATCGCCATCTTGGATCTCCAGCCTCCATTTATTTATTCATTCATTCATTCATTCATTCATGTATTTATTTGTTGAGAGTGCTACAAATGTCTCCCATCCCCATTCCTTTAGCCCCCCACTACCCAGCCCCCACCGCACCCCAGGCCTTCCTCACATTATTGTCTGTGTCCATAGGTTATGCATTTATGCATATATGTTCTTTGGTTACTCTCTTCCATTATTTTAAATTAATTTTTATAATTGAAACTGTTTTCATTACAAGCAATTTGCATGGCCTTAAGGGAAATGTACTTTTGTGTATACACTAAATGACAGCAAGTTTAAAATAGTTTAATCTGAAATAATTTTGCCAAGATTTTTCCTTTCTGTATCTTTATTCTATTGGGTTTCATTTTTTTTCAATGTATATAGTTTGAGGCTTTATACATTTTGAATTGATCCTGAAAGAAGCTGATCTCTGGGAGTGACCATAGCGTTTAATTGGGCTACCTCCAGGGTTCACTTTGTGTAGAGATCCTATTTCTAAGCAATTGATTGGCCTTTCAATTGTGGCCATAACCATTTCTTCCTTTTTAACTTTTGTATTTTGAGTTATGCATGTTTCAAATGCCAACATTTAAAAGAATAGCACAGCTTGTAAATCATACTGTATAAGATGTACAGCTCTGAGCAGAAGATGGCTGTGTGAAGGGCATTTTTCTGAGTAGACACTCCTGAGGGTGAAGGCTCATTTGAAAACTTATGAAAGAATTAGTAGCTAGTAGAGGAGCAACAAAAGGGGCGAGAGTCTTAGATCCCTGCTTCTCAAACTTTTCCATTGGTGAGTCCTTGAAGGTCAATAAGAGAGGAACTTATGCTTCCAGAAAAGCAAGAGCTAGAGTGGAAAGGCCTGCCTTAAGCCTTATGAGCTTTCAATTGTTTGAAGTTACCCACTTTAGTTTTTAAGTTATGGGAATTTTCTATTTGACTACATAATGTAATGGCTGGCTTTACTCTAATAATATCTTATTTTCAGATATGAGTGAAATTGATGCTCCAGGACTGACAGCATATTCGCCCTGTGATTTTGAGTGCCCATCGACACCCTGCAGCTGTGGAGCGGGGTGGAGAATAGAGGAGAAGCATTCTGAGAAACAGAGGTTTTGATGAAAATTAGAAGGCAGATATTAGCAGGGGTGCCTGGTACACATAAATAATATAGCTGTATGGGAATAATAGACAACTCCAAGCCTGTATTTGGTGATTTCTTTTGTCAAGGCAGGTGATGTAAATGAAAAGGATAAACAAATCAGCACTAAGACACAGTTGTCTAGGAGAAAAACGTAAATTACATCTGGAATACTGAGAAAGAAAGCAAATTGAAGATCATATAATCATTTATTCTGCCTGTGAGCAAAATAGGACTTAGACTGGCTCAGAATGATCTGATATATTTCTTCTTTTTGGAGGACACCTTTACTCCTGAGTTAAAAACAAAAACAACAACTCACTTCTCTTTAATTGTAGGAAAATTAGAAAATATAGAGAAACAAACAAATAAATGACATTCATGATCCCACCATATAAAGATAATAGATATTAAACCATAGTGAATATCCATGGATTTTTTTTCTTTGCATCTATAGACATATACAACAAAATGGGGAGGGGGTGAGTTTTATAATAACGTGCTTTTTTTTTTTCACTGAATAATATCAATATCTTCCTTTGCCAATAAATACCTTTGCCATAATTTTTAATTTTTAATGTTTACACTTTATTACCATGATGGAGTACTATGAGTATTTATTTATTTATTTATTTTTTCTATTGATTTCAGAGAGGAAGGGAGAGGGAGAAAGAGATAAAACATCAATGGTGAGAGAGAATCATTGATCAGCTGCCTCCTGCATGCCCCCTACTGGGGATCAAGCCCATAATCCAGGCATGTGCCCTGACTGGGAATCGAACC